GTGAACGTTTTTTGTCGACCAATCACAGAGCATTTATGGTGTGCGAAAACGTTTTCCTATTGGCGAACGATTGGATTCTATTTAGCCAGTTTCGACACGCTACTGTTGTTTAGTATAATACAAATGAGCGGATATGCCGTTTTCTTTAAATATAACACGTTGGATGTACAAATCGACAGTACAATCTACCCAATAAAGCTAGGCCTACTGATCATACAGCACTGCTAGTAGATGTATCGGTTTGGGCTGCTTGATAGTAGTGCCTGCAAGGAAACATAACAAGCCCGAAATTGTAAAGCATGCAAATCAAGTATGCATTTCTGCACTTACCAATAACTTATATTGGGGTTGGTATACAGAGATGGTCACACAAATACACCATGCGATTCTGCTTGTCGATAAGCCTGCAAAAACAGTCATTCCCTACAAAACATGCAAACACACCCTGCTGTTAAAGCATCCCGCAGAAATTGCTTCGCCGGGGTTAGTGTAAGAAAATGTTGCTACTTAGCAAACGACACATACTTAACAGATGCAGAGTAAGTCGCGGTTGCCCGAGCGACAATGGTTACACACGGGATAACTGAGATGTCGGTGCAACAGGCTTGGTCGCACCCGTAATGGAAGGCGCTGCCAACGTAATGAACTGCGGATAAACATGTGTAGATGCAAACATAAGACACATGTCGCAAAGTGATGAGCTAACAGAACGGAGAACACACGGCAACCCAGTCAATAGCATAGGAAAGAACATATACCTCACCAAAAATACTACTTACCTAATATCTCGCACTGCTGGTAGTCAAGTAGAAGACCGCACGTCTGAAATGGAGGTTAGAAAGAGGGCGAGTGAGGGTGAAAGAGTGGAAACAGGAGAGGAAACACACAAACCGAGCGATGCGCACTGTACGGAACCGTACGAGCAATTGATCAATGACGGAAAAACGTATACCACACGAGAGAATCCAAGACTTTTTCGCTTCGTTCAAAGAAGAAAAACAAACAGACATACCTGCCGGAATGCATCTTAGCATCACCACGTGGTCAGGAATCCACCGCGGAAACGAAGCAACTCGTCGATCTGCAAAGGGGAATGGGTTAAACTCGATCCACAGAGGAGCAATGCGTTAAACCGAAGCGACACCGTAACTGGAAACGGCGAAACGGCAAGCAATACATATACAGTTGTATGTCGCACCTGGAAAAACGTGTACCTAAACAAATGGTAACTGCACGATAAAATAATTTAAAGACAGCGTCACGTGCAAGAACAGAACTGTAAACTTACTTGGCCTGTTGCGCAACAATGTCCGTCCTTTGCGCGACTCTCATGTACCCCAGCAGCGCGACGTAAATAGATGAACGGAGCTGCCGTCTGAAAAGGGGAGAGAGGTGAAAAACGGACAGAGATGCGAATGGACGATGTAGTCTGCGTCATCGCGGAAAAGGAAAATGTCGAATTTGGGGGTCCGAAGGTTTTTCTACGAAAAACCTGTGTCAGAGTTGCGCGGAGTGTCCAAAAAACAACGCACGCAAAACGCTGCATTCCGTACACCAGTACCGGATGTTTCGACAGACACATAACCGTCACCCGAAAGTTGCATTCCTGTCAACTTTTTCGCGTCAATCGGTTGCGCGCGTTCGAGAGAGTTTGCAAGCGGTAATGCAGAGTACCAAATGACAGTGGGATGTAACCACATAATTCACGAAACAAAACAACCCAACGAGTTCTTCACGAAATCCAGCGAGGTTGCAGAACTGGATACTTTGTTTTCGTTTGTTTCTCAAATCTGAACCCCAACCACCCAAACAAAGCCACGAACGCAAGATGGTTCTTCAGGGGTGTGACGTGTGAGCTGAAATATCATTTCTAACCAATCACTGTCAAACCACACCTGCCATTTTGAACACGTCAGCACACCCAGCCTATCCAACCCAAACCAAACGCCCACCCATAGTTCCATTCCCCCACCTCATCTTTCCACCCCGTTGCAGACCACGCAGATTCCCAGCATTCACGCACCTATAATCACCTACACACACAGATTACACTTTTCAGACTGCAACTCTCCTCTTCAACTTCTGCAACTCTTTTTGTAATCTCTGCACCCATCGTCCAACCCTTCTTAACTCCTAGTTCCTTCAAGCCCACAGCCAGACTGTGTGTGAGAACGTCGAGACTATGTTGCCTTGCGCGAACATTGTGTCGTTATTTATTTTTTAATCGTCCATTCGCATCTCTGTCCGTTTTTCACCTCTCTCCCCCTTTCAGACGGCAGCTCCGTTCATCTATTTACGTTGCGCTGCTGGGGTACATGAGAGTCGCGCAAAGGACGGACATTGTTGCGCAACAGGCCAAGTAAGTTTACAGTTCTGTTCTTGCACGTAACGCTGTCTTTAAATTATTTTATCGTGCAGTTACCATTTGTTTAGGTACACGTTTTTCCAGGTGCGACATACAACTATATATGTATTGGTCGCCGTTTCGCCGTTTCCAGTTACGGTGTCGCTTCGGTTTAACGCATTGCTCCTCTGTGGATCAAGTTTAACCCATTCCCCTTTGCAGATCGACGAGTTGCTTCGTTTCCGCGGTGGATTCCCGAGCACGTGGTGATGCTAAGACGCATTCCGGCAGGTATGTCTGTTTGTTTTTCTTCTTTGAACGAAGCGAAAATGTCTTGGATTCTCTCGTGTGGTATACGTTTTTCCGTCATTGATCAATTGCTCGTACGGTTCCGTACAGTGCGCATCGCTCGGTCTGTGTGTTTCCTCTCCTGTTTCCACTCTTTCACCCTCACTCGCCCCCTTTCTAACCTCCATTTCAGACGTGCGGTCTTCTACTTGACTACCAGCAGTGCGAGATGTTAGGTAAGTAGTATTTTTGGTGAGGTATATGTTCTTTCCTACGCTATTGACTGGGTTGCCGTGTGTTCTCCGTTCTGTTAGCTCATCACTTTGCGCCATGTGTCTTATGTTTGCATCTACACATGTTTATCCGCAGTTCATTACGTTGGCAGCGCCTTCCATTACGGGTGCGACCAAGCCTGTTGCTTCGGCATCTCAGTCATCCCGTGTGTAACCATTGTCGCTCGGGCAACCGCGACTTACTCTGCATCTGTTAAGTATGTGTCGTTTGCTAAGTAGCAACATTTTCTTACACTAACCCCGGCGAAGCAATTTCTGCGGGATGCTTTAACAGCAGGGTGTGTTTGCATGTTTTGCAGGGAATGACTGTTTTTGCAGGCTTATCGACAAGCAGAATCGCATGGTGTATTTGTGTGACCATCTCTGTATACCAACCCCAATATAAGTTATTGGTGAGTGCAGAAATGCATACTTGATTTGCATGCTTTACAATTTCGGGCTTGTTATGTTTCCTTGCATGCACTACTATCAAGCAGCCCAAACCGATACATCTACTAGCAGTGCTGTATGATCAGTAGGCCTAGCTTTATTGGTCGATTTGTACATCCAACGTTTTATATTTAAAGAAAACGGCATATCCGCTCATTTGTATTATACTAAACAACAGTAGCGTGTCGAAACTGGCTAAATAGAATCCAATCGTTCGCCAATAGGAAAACGTTTTCGCACACCATAAATGCTCTATGATTGGTCGACAAAAAAGGTTCACGTGCGTCGATTTTAATCTGATCTGACGGCTGGCGTTAGCGTACGTTGCCCGCCACGTCAGCATGTTTCAGTTTCATCTCGAGTACGTTGTTTGCCACGTGGCCGCTCAGATACATTTTCGCCTAGGTTGCCCAAAAGTGACGTTTAGCAACTCCCCGGTTGCTTTACTGTACACCTTACAGTTGCCCCAAGGTGTACAATTTTCGCCAAGAAAGTGATGGGAAAGTCACTTCGCAAGTAACCTGTGCTACCACTGTTTTCGAGTCAAACTTTATTTTTGCGCGGCGAATGCAACTGGAAAGTTACGAAAAAGCCAGTTTGTAGTTGCTTTTTGCACTTCCCTTTTCCGCGATGTAGGCTGGCCGCACGCAACAAGGGCCAACAACCTGTTAGTAGCCAGGCACCCTTCTTGCGGGCGAGACGAACAAACTGGAACAGGCCGGATGCGAGTGGTAGTATACCGACTCCGTGCCCTGAATTCAAGGTCCCCGTTAAATTAGAAGGCGTGCAAGTGCTGCCCGAGCCAGACGACATAATTTCGAGGTTCGCTAAGGGAGTCAGAGTTCCGGACTGCGCGACGGATAGGCCACCTAGGTCGGTTAAGAGTGCCCATTTCCCTTCCCGTGAGATAAAAAACCATCACGACCAGCGAGCGAAGGTGACTATCATGGATGCGCTCCACATACAGGATGGATACGAGCTGACAACGTCAACCATCGACTTTTACCACGTGTGAGTCACGTTCTGCGTCTGCCTTGTTTTACTTTTTCATCACCATCATGTACATGACCTGTCTTGTTCGTACTGTTCCAGGGTGCTGAGCCTTCTTCACAAGCAGTTACCTGACGGGAAAACTTGGTTGGCTCTGGACACGCTCGCCTACCAAACCGTCATCGGGGGACAGGAGCTAGCGTGTGGTGTCAATTGCAAACTTCTCTTCGAGCACGACTATCTTTGCATCGTGGTGTTCACCAAGTAAGATGATTAAAAATTACGGAAGGTAGGGAGATCGTTTGCGACAACCTGATGTACTACTCCGTGGCTTGCATAACCCGTCTTCCTTTGCTTTGTGTTTTTTTGCAGAGTTCCAGTTCATCATTTCAGCCTTGTCGTTGTTAAGGACCCCCGTCTGCTGCTGCTTAGTAAGGAGGAATACGATGCCTTGACGCCACCAGTACCGGTAAAAGCAGTACTGTACGACTCAGCATGCTTGCACTTCGACATGTGCGAAGCAATTTTCACGAACATCAACGAGTGAGTTCACGGTGATTCTTCATTCAATTGGGGCGAGATACCGGTTATTATGCACAAGTGTATAGCTCCGTGCCCTAATCCCCTTTCCCACGTTATACATCCGCAGGCTGCTTATGAGGGCCCTTAAACAGGCCAACCCTGATATGCCATGGGTGGTTGTGACAGAGAGGGTTACACGCGTGAGCAGCCGTGCGTTTGAAGTGAGTATGCCACTCTAGTCTTTGCTGTCCTGCTGCAATTAACCTGCAGGGCTCGGTTTACCTCGCATATCTTAATTGGTGTTCCTATCACTTCCCTTTTCTTTAATGCAGTACTACGAGGTACCCCAGCAACAGAACGGTGTGGACTGCGGGGTCTACGTCTGTATGTTCTCCAAGGAGCTTATGGGCCGAGCTTTCCAATTCATGGAAGAAGGGATCAGACATCCCCGTTACAGTGCCGTGCAATGCAGGTGCGAGATTCGGGCTCTGATGTGCGAGGCCGGCGAAGGTACTCTGCTGGAATCGCTCGGACTGAAGGGGGCCGATATTCCCCCACAGAGTGATCAGCACGGGGGGGACGAGAGTGATAGCGACCAGGGAGTTGAGGAGGTAAAGGAGCCAACGGTGCAAGATCTGGCGGCGGAGCAGTGTTCTCATGCTGCACAGCTCAAGAACCTGCATGAAGACGTGGAGTCCCTGAAAGAATCCGTTTACAAGGGAGAACAGGAGCTCGTCAAAGTGACTGGGACGATGTCATCAGTCTTTACGGCCTTCCAGCAGATGGCTGCCAAGATAGGGTTCAAGCAGCCGACGGCTGGCCTGGAGGATTTGAACACCAAAGAACCCGCCAACTCAATCGCAGCAGAAAACCCGCCGCATCGTACGGCCGGATCATCATTTGAGGCTCCTGTTGACACGAGCGGTGCTCGCCACGCTTCCTCTGCCGGCCCGTCACATGCGCGTGCATCTATTTCCGCGACGATGCTTGGTTATGTACAAGGCCATGGAGCCACAACCGGTGCACAAAAGTCTGCGGCGGGTCACTCTGGCCCCGCGGCCGTCGCTTCTACCTCCGCGCCTGGTCAGCCGGTTGCTGCAGCATGTGTTACTACAGCAGCAGCGGGCCTGCCAGGTATCGCGGAAGGTGCTCTGCTACCTTCAGCGGCGCAGCCAGGTGCACCTGCTGGTGCTCTTCCATCTGCTCCAAGTCAGCCAGGTGCCTCTGCCGGTGCTCAGGCAGCCGGGGTTGGACAGCCAGGTGCAGCAGCGGTTAAGCCAGCATCGGCAGGAAGTCTGCCAGGTGCAATTCCTGCAGCTGCTGCTAGTCAGACAGGCGCAGCAGCCGGTGATACTACCGTCCCGACAGGTCACACAGGTGCAGCAGCCGGGGTTCCAAACGCCTCCACGGGTCGGACAGGTGCATCCGCCGGTTTTCCACGTGGAGTAGAGGCACGGGCTCAAGCTGCCACGGGGCGGCCTATCAACGCAGCTGCGGTTCAGCCCAGAAACGATGCGTGGGCCCTAGTGGGACCGCACACGGAACTCACCAAGTTTCACAGATGTGTGCAGGTCCAGGGTTCTCAAGGGTCGGAAGCGGCGGCGGACACTAGTAGGGCACTTGCTGTTCAAACGGGTTCTTCTGCATGGTCTTCTGGGGAACAGTTTTTTGCCCCCTCTGCCTTTCCACGCGGGCCGCATATGCAGGGAGCACGTGCACCATCTGCTATGGGGTTTGCGCAGCATGCAGGTGCTGTTCAGCCGGCCGCCCCAGCATCCGCCGCACCATCATGGCCGATGGGCCATGCTCCCCAACCTCCCAACGCGGTATACCTCGGATCTGGACAGCCGCACTCCTTCATGCAGCTACCACTGTCGACGCATCGCCCCCCGCTGCATCATTCTGCTACTTTACTCGCGTCTGATGTGGTGCTCGACAATGCGAGCTGCCAACCTGCTCACACATCCGCGTCTCGTGGAGTGGGTCTATCGAGCATGCTCTCCGGTTTCATGCAGGGGTCCCAGCACGTTCTGCCCTCACCGGCAGCGTCCTCGTCTATGGTGCCCTCGACCCAGGGGGGGGAGCACGGCGAGGTGCCCAACAAAAAGGGGTGGACGGGCGTCATAAAGAAGCTGGACAAGGACGAGTGGATCAGTAGGATCGTCCTAGACCGTGCATCACAGTCGCTGATCGTCATTAACAGCCACTTTGGATCAGAGGAAGAGACGGCAAGGTCAATAGTCGCAGCGTCGCACGTGATGTTCATTAACAAGCCAACGCGTGGGGAGCTTATTCCCTTGACCGCCGACGACAAGGCAAAGCTCAGAGAGTGTTCGCCGCACTAGTGTGAGGTGATGGTCCAGATGAAGTTCTGGCACATGTGGGAGGAGTGGAGAAAGTATTGGCCTGCGGCTAAGGCAAAGTGGGACGTGAAGGTGCGCAGGGAAGAACATAAGAGAGATGCAATAAAGGCCAGCTTGGAGGAGGACGATTCTCGGGCCGACAAACTGGCCCGAACAGAAGGTGAAGAAACTGCCCGGGCTCAGACTGCATATCAACAGGAGGGGTCGGGAACGAAAGATGCATAGTTCAGGTCTATATGAATGGATGTGGTTGTGTTTTGGGACCCCCATAGTCAATCTTGGTGCCTTTGTGACAAAGTTTGAAGAAAGAAAGAGGATTGAACTAGCAAGAATGAGGATACAAATAGCAAACCCTAGAAGGGTTGTACTCGCTATAGAGCACCCCACTACAGGCTAGAACAATAAGATAATATTCTGACACACCCCCATAGCCAAAGTGGGGTGTAATCAGCAGAGCAGGCAAAGCAATACAAGCTCAGGGTGGATCACAATGTCACCACACATTCTGAGCACAAGTTCAAGAAGAAATAGTTTAGAGTTCACAATTATAAGCAAAGCTAGTGGTAGTCACAACGGGCAAGTGAGGAGGAGGAGGGAGAGTGAGGGGAGAGGAGATAGGAGGCGACGGCTGAAGCTGCAGACACACGGGCAACAGGAGGCAGACTGGCACAGCGGCTACCGGACAGCGCCCGGACTACAGGAGTATCAGGCCCCGCGGCTCAAATAGCGGCGGACGGGCAACGGACCCACAGGCGGCTGGCGTAGAAGTCTAGCTCACTGGGCTACCGGGACAGCGCCCCGGACTACAGGTGCTGCTGACGACAAACTGGCAACCTCCGCTCATCCTCCCGCACACAGTCCCACCCCCCTGATACACACCCACTGCTACACCGCTAGCTCTACTCCCACGCACCCCCCTTAAACCCTAAACCCCTGCCACGTTTTAGTATAACACGAGTGATTCCCTAGTAAAATCCCACTACGGAGTCGCTTACTTCCATACGCAGTTCACGTTGGAAAACCAGCACGACATGTGTGTTACAAACTACACCACAGTATTCAGCAGTCAAATTACTAAGCGCGTACTAAGCACACTGTGGACACTTTTACACGTGAAGTTCAAATTCCCCGATGAGACTTAGCCATTTGGGTTCCACTGCACTCAACTGTGGAATCCGGTCAAAACGTAACTCCTACCGTCACAGCGACCTACCGGAGCTACTGGAAAACAATACGCGTCACATTATGTTTAGGGATTTTGCAGCATAGGGGCAAACCCGATTTAAACACTTAAGGTGGACAAGATGAGGGTGAATAGCCGCACAAATATGAAGCGTGTTCCGCGTATCCCAACTGCCAAGATTGTCGGGTGTGAAAGGGTTTGGGTGAGGGGCTCACAAGATGCTCACCATTAACATAGTTCCGCGCCGTAAAAAATGCAGTAAGCATGCCGTAAACACCTGCATTTCTGTGTGCCGTAAATGTCTTGCCTCACACTCACCATTCCTACATTTGGTCGGTTAGGTGCCAGCCTCGTATCACAATGACGCGAGTCAAAGCCTAGTAAACATCAAGTACCAGAAACAGAAAACGACAGGTGTGGTCCTTGTGGAAACTTCTGACGTCACGCGAAACACTCGGTAGAGTGTATAAAGGTTTTTGTTCAGTGTTTTGTAAACTATTGGGTCCACCTAGTATTCCCGAGACACCTGGTAGAGTTTGATTGACTACATACTAGTTTTTCACTGTCGGTTAGTCAATTACGCAAGTTTAGAAGCCAAGGGGCAATCCAAAAAAAAAAAAAAAAAAACGCCGTGTAACACCAGGGTGAATACCCGCACGGCTTTGAAGCGTGGTCCGCGTATCCCAACTGCTGACATCGTCGGGTGTGAAAGGGTTTAGGTGAGGGGATCACGAGATCCTCATCAAGAACAAACCATTGCAAAGCAAAAATGCAGCAAGCAGGCCGTAAACCCCGGAGGCAAACAAGATCGAGAACGGAGTAGATGACACGCCTGTGTGCCGTATGTACATATAGACCACCGTGGGCACCGTAGGTTTACAACCCACGTGCCAGCCACGTATATGAACGAGACGAGTGGAAGCCTAGTGAAGACCTAGTACCAAAACAGTAAATGGAGACTGAAGTCATCGTTGAAACTCTCGCACTAATCGAACCTTGGCACGACGAGAGTAAATTAGTTGCGGCCTACAAGTTAAACACCTGATCGGGCATCACTGAGTCGTCACAAGCTTGTCACCATTGGATAGTATACAGCCAACCCGTATTCGCTTTAGGCATCATGGGGTATTCGCTGGTCAGCCAGAACCCTAAACATATTCTGAGATGATAGCCTTTACCTTACTTTAAAAAAGCCTCAGCCTTGAGGGATCAGAAAATAATAATCATGATCATCCGTGTTAAACATGGGCAATGTAATTCCGGAGGTCGAAATTGTACAATCCAAATGTATCGCGCAACATTCAGTTGCACACGTCTGAAAACATTGCCCTCGATACGACCTGATATTGTTACAATCTCAAGTGAGACTTCGCGAAGGATCGCTCATGGTTGATCGCAGTATAGAGTTGCAGCGAAAGTTTGAATCACAGGTCAGAGTGAATGTAAATGACTGATTTGATAATAGTGTGAAACAAGGAAAAACAGGAATGAAATGACTAAGGAAAGATTGGGTACAAATGCAACCCTAGAAACCCTGTACCCCATATGTGCTACCCCACTATAGCCTACAGCAACTATGTCATATAAATCTGACACACCCCCATAGGCAAAGTGGGGGAGAATAAGGGGTCACAAGACCAGTCAAGCAAAACAAAGCAAGCTCAGGGTGGATCACAAAGTCACCACACAGTCCGAGCACAAGAGTAGGGCCAGAGGCCAGTTCACATGCAGGAGTACAGACATATATATAAAACTAGACAAACAAGAGCAGGCATATATATATGTCACAGTACAAGTGAAGTCAAGAGGAGAGCAAGTGAGGCAAGACAGGCACAAGACCCAGCTGGGTGCAAAAGCGCTGATGGTCACAAGGCGCGAGTGCCTTGGTGAACACATCAGCAGTGTTGGACTCAGAGGCCACGTACGCAAGTCGCAACTGACCACGCTGCTGCAGCTCACGAGCAAGGAAGTAGCGGAGAGCAATGTGCTTCGTTCTGTGCTCCAAGCGCTGCTCTCGACACAAGGCCAGCATAGCCTTGTTGTCTACGTACAGCACTGGAGGAGAACGAGGCGGCTCTCCAAGGTCAGTCAGCAGGTAGGTGAGCCAGCGAAGCTCCTGTGCAGCCATGGCCCCGGCGTAGATCTCAGCCTCACAACTGGAGCCGAGAACCGAAGACGAGCGAGTAGACCGCCACGAGACAGAGCCGGAACCAAGGCTGAAGGTGTAACCCTGTGACGACCGCTGCGTAGCCTGGTCGTCAGCCCAAGAAGCGTCCGCGTGGCCGGTAAGGACCACTGGACTCCGCCCTCCAAGCACTAGCCCCATGCCCGACGTACTGCACAGGTAGCGCAATACCCTCTTCGCTGCAGCCATGTGCTCCGCTCTGTGTCTCCCAGGAGCAACATAGCGTGCAAGAATGCTCAGAGGGTATGCAAGGTCAGGTCGTGTGCAGGTCATCAGGTACATGAGGCAGCCAACAAGCTCTGCATACGGACCACTCGACTCTACGGACTCATCCGAAGGCAGAGCTGAGAGTGAGTGGCGAGTAGGCAGAGGAGTGGCCTGAGGCGAGGAGTACGTGAAGCCGAAGCGCTGAAGGACCTGCTGCACCATGTGTGACTGAGTCAAGGTAATGGTGCGGCGTGCTCTGTCCCGAGTGATCTGCAAGCCAAGGTAGCTGCGCAGTTCACCCAGGTCTGTGCACGTGTGTCTCTTCAGCAGCTCGGACTTCACGTAGGCGAGTCCAGCAGTGTCCGCTGTGGCAAAGACCAAGTCGTCGACGTACACGAGGATGTAGAACGGCGGCAGGGAAGTGTCGGTGCGAAGAAACAGCGACGGGTCTGCAGTAGAAGGAGCAAACCCAAGAGCCGCAAGCGTAGTCCTCAGTGTGTCGTGCCACTCACGCGGTGCCTGGCGGAGACCGTAGACTGGCCGTCGGAGGCTCCACTGGGTGCCAGGAGGGAAAGTCCCAGTGAAGCCAGGTGGACGGCGAAGCCAGATCTCCTCGTGCAGGCTACCCTGCAAGAACGCAGTGCTGAAGTCGAGAGAGTGAAGCTCGTAGTCGCGCTGAGCGGCTATGTGCAGCAGCACCCGAAGAGTAGTCATCTTCGGGGTGGGAGAGAAGGTCTGAAAGTAGTCAACTCCCTGCCGCTGACTGAAGCCACGAGCAACGTACCGTGCCTTGAAGACAGGTGGAGAGCCCGGCGGCCGCTTCACCCTGAAGATCCACATGCCACTGACGATGTTCGCCCCAGGAGGGGGAACCGCGTCAACGTAGGTGCCTGTGGACTTCCAGGAAGCCATCTCTGCATCCATAGCTGCCTGCCACTGAGAGGAGTAGGGACCCTCTACGGCCTCCGCGTAAGAACGCGGAGTCGGGATGTCTAGTGCATCCGGGTCTCCCTCAGGGGCAAGCAGTACAGACGCGAGATGAGGTGAAGCAGCCGCTAGACACTGTAACTCCTCCTGCCTGTCCTCTAGGACGTCCGTGCCAAGAGCACACTCACCCCCGATGGACGGAGGACAGACAGACGCAGACTCAGCAACAAGACTAGCAGCGTAGTCGAGACGACAGCGAGCAGCAAAGTCAACGAGCTCAGCGACAAGAGCAGACGCAGCAGTGGACTCAAAAGAGGGGTCAGTGACGACAGTAGCAAGCAGACGCGTGACAGTAGGACTGGCAGCGCGAAGAGAGTCCGACTCAAGGTCGGCAAGCGCAGGAAGAGAGGACTCAGGAGGAGAAGGCAAAGGGGCACGCAGAGGAGCAGTGGACGGACGCAGAGACATCCGGTGCGTGCC